CCTGATAAGGAGAGAACACTGGGCCTGGGTCATTCCTGGGTCCTACACCTTTGGAGGGTACCATTTGCTGCTGGGACCACAGAATGTTCCCTGGTGCTCCCTGCAGCCTGCTCTCCACACAGGAGCCAGCCTGATCCACTTGAATCCACGTCAAATAGTGTCGCTCCTGCACTTAATACCCTCCAGTGCCCCTCTCACCCGGATCAAGAGTCAAGGTCCTTTCCATGGTCCATAAATTGGACAACAATATGACATGTTTTTCGAACCAGGGCACTTTGAGAGTTAAGGAGTCTCTGCTCATCCCACAGGGCAACAGCAGAAACCAGGACAGTGGTGAGTACTGAGTGGGGGGGTCTGTGCAATCTGGTTCCATCTGCTTCTGTGACCTATTCCCTACCCTCTGCCCTCACTCGTCCCCGCAGCATCCTTACCCTTCTTTATACAACCGTGAGCCCTTGTACTTGCTGTCCCCCTGCCTGAAATGCTGTCACCCACCACTTAGACACCCACATGCCCCTGCCTTTTACACATCTCTGGTCAAATGTCCCCCTTCAGAGAGACTTTCGTGATCTCTGCGAATAATACCTCCCACCTACCATCACGCATGTCACCTCCTTTTATTTTGCTTCACACACTTGCACCTACCGAAGTGCTGACCCAGCTGCTCGCTTATAGACAGCTGGTCTCCCCACCACCACCCTGTGAAGTAGGGGCTCTGCTCAGTCACCCACTGCTGCCGCCCGGCCCCTCCCCCAGGGCAGGGTGCACAACAGGTGCTCAGTAAACATCCTTCAAATTATCAGATGAATTTGGAAGGAGGGCATTAGCACTGATTACGCAGCAGCTTTGGGACAGACACTGTCCCTGCATCTTATGTGACCCCACTACCCACCAAGGTGGAATTCGTCAGCCCCACTTCCAGATGAGGAAACTGAGGGTCACTTGCTTCATCATTTTATAAAATTTATTAATATTTACTTATTTATTTTTAATCCTCACCTGAGGACACATTTAGAGAGAGGAAGGGAGAGAGAGAAACACTGATCGGTTGCCCTCTGCACACTCCCCAACCAGGGATCAAACCCACAACCCGGGCATATGCCCCGACCTGGAGCCTAAGCAGTGACCTTTCGGTGCACAGGAGGACGTCCCACCCACGGAGCCACTCCGGGCGCTGGCTTCATCGTTCACGATACAGTACCTGATGCAGAGCGGGTATTATGTACCAGCTCTGAGAGGACAAAGCCCCTCGCTGTGTCACCCACATCACGTTGCAGAAAACTGTCCTGAAGCCCACCTCCCAGGGCCAGTTAGCAGAGACAGGACACACTCAGGTCCCCAGGTCCCCCGACTCTCTGTCCAGGGCTCCTTCTCCAGTGCAAACACCACAGGGGTCTTACCAGGGTCGAGGAGGTGCTCCCGACTGTCCCCAGCACCGGGGCAGGTCTGAGGGCCATGCTGGTGTAGTAGTGGGTTCAAGAGTGAGACAGGTGGGCATTTTCAGAGGGCGAACTTCACATCAAAAGAGACTAAGGATGAGAGGAGCCCTGGGGACAAGAATAATGGGCTTGGACTGAGTCAGACAGAGGCAAGACAAATGGGGAGGGAGCGCAACTTACGTGCACATTTACATGTTAGACGGGTAATTACCAACCTTTGTTACAAATCTCCACAACTACAATGAAAGGAGACATGAATCAAGGACGCTGACATGACATCTATTAGGGTCCCATTGTTTCTGACACCATCATGGGGATTTTGTTGTCTTCGCCTTGGGGCCTTTAATGAACAGGCACGCCCCTTCGCTGGGCTTGTTTGTGTGAGGGGCTGGGAGTGGGGGGGAGAGGGGTGATCTGAATCCGAGGGGTCATTATGATGGTCACGATCATTATGACAAGACTTTCCTCGCTGGCAGTGGTGTACGGCGTTGTCGTGGAAACTGCGTGCTTATTAGTAACATGCTTTTTTAAGGTTACCGGGATATTGGCATCCCTTCACCAATGCCTGCTTTGTGATGGCGGCACAGTGGCCTTGGTGACGTGGACAAAGAACCGGGACTCCGCAAGGCCAGTGATGTTTTCATTCCACTTCTTCCTCTGGCTTGCTCTCCATCTCCACAAACAGCTCGTAAAAAAAAATCACCCCTCTGGGGTGCTGGAAATGTTCTGTATTGTGACTGCGTAGTGGCCACAGGGGTGTAGACATATAAGAATCCATTGAGCCTGGCACTTAAGATTAAGTACACTTTATGGCACATGTTATAGTCAATAAAAATGTTTAATTTCACCCTTTTCTCATCACCTGGAGAATTATGTCCTTTCCACCTCACTCAGGTGACATCTGGAAGACCGCAATCAGAGGCACCGCCCCTCAGAGGGGCAGTAGCTACGCCATGCACCTGCGTGTCATGCATCCTAACTGCGCTGCCCAATCCTCACCACTGTCCGGAGAACTCGGTGCTTTCCTCCCCGCTTGAAGATTGGAAACCGAGGCCCAGTGAGGTGCAGTGGCCCGGAGTCCCCAGAAAAGAGGATCTGAGCCAGGTCTCTGTGGCCCCGAGCCACGCTCTTTCCACCCCGTTGGGCAGGCCTCCTGGACCAAGTGAAATGCGGCCAGGAAAGGAATTCCAGAACAATAGCATTCTAGAATCCACACTGTATGGGGAAAATTAAAAAGGAAAACATAAACAAAAAGGAGTGTCTCTCATTTTAAAAAAGAGGGCACAAAAGAGTAGTTAAAGAGTGAGGTGTCTCATCCCAAACATGTTGCTGTTTGTCCTGCTCAATACTTTTTTAAAAAATCACTTGCCTACATTGAAAAAAAAACAAAAAACAAACCCAGATTTCTGCTGTCTCCTAAAAGTCAGATCTGGCTACCCGTGGCCCTGTTCCCATGGCATACACTCTCCAGTTTGCCCCACTCTCTACCCAGCCACCTCACTCACTAGGGGGGCCGGGTGACCATCTACTGTTTGGTGGTCTGGCATTCATTCATTCTCCTGCTGGGAACCACACTCCAATTTCCCTTTTGAGAACCACCCTCTTTCCCACTCCTGGTCTAGCTGCTTTGAGTGGGGATGACTCCATCCCTGGCTCCGGTGGTATCCATGTGGTTCAGTTCTGAATAGTCATAGCATCGTGTTAGTCTATCCACAAAGATTAGCATTAGCCCAGGATTGGACATATGAGCCCATCACAGCCAATGATGGTTGCAATGAAACTTTAATTGGAATTTGCTGTGAAAATAGGATGTGGGACTTAAACCTGCATGGTGGAGCCTGGAGCTGCTGTCAGACATCTTAAAAGCATGTGGAGTCTTGCCCTGGATGGTTTGCTCAATGGTTAGAGCCTCGGCCTAAGGACTGAAGGCTTGCAGGTTCGATTCCAGTCGGGGTCATGTACCTGGGTTGCAGGTTTGATCCCCGGCCCTGGTTAGGGCTGTGCAGGAGGCAACCAATCAATGTGTCTGTCTCACATCAATCTTTCTCTCTCTCTCTCCTTCCCTCCCTTCCACTCTATCTAAAAAATAAAAAATAAATAAAAAAGCATGTGGGGTCTTAAAATTAGTTCAACACAGAAAAGAACCTAATAATGGAGAAGTCCTGGTGTCCTTATGAAACCCCTTGATCAAGCTCTACCTGAAGCTGATACCTGTAGTCTTTATTTATGTGAACCAATCAATTACTGGGGTATATATACATATATTTTTTTGTGTGTTTCTACAAACTATTGAAGATAGTCAGTAGCTATTTATGTTCAGGTAACAGAAAAGTCTTCCCTAGAGAAGTTTCTGAGCTAGCAGACAGCAGGAACAAGACCCAATGTGTAAAAGTGACAGAAATCTAAATTTCAACCCAACATGAAGATGAAACTTTTCAACACTGAATCATTAAGAAGTAGCAATATGTTATGAAATCCAGGTAAGTAAAAGCATTCAAGCAGATTAAAAATTATCACCCTGACTGGTGTGCTCAGTGGCTAGAGTGTCGGCCTGCATACTGAAGGGACTCACGTTCAATTCCTGGTCACATACCTGGGTTGCAGGTTTGATCCCTGGCCCCAATCGAGACACATGCAGAAGGCAACCAATTGATGCGTCTCTCTCACATTGATGTTTCTCTCCCCCTCCCTCCCTTCCACTCTCTCTAAAAAAATCAATGGAAAAAATATCCTCAAGTGAGAATTAACAACAACAAAAATTATTATCAATGCATCAATCTTGGCACAGGGTAGGTGGATGGAAAAGTTAACCCCAACCTTGATGATCCTATGAATATCAAGAATGAAATATTTCTCAAAAAGGATTTCCTGACCATCCTAGGAAGATTCCCCCCCTACCCCTATTACCTATTATTACTAAATTCTAATTGTTTCCTTCATGATTACAACTATGCAAAGTTTAATTTAAATTATATTTTCAGTGTATTTAGTTTAATTTTAGATTTATAATTTTGTTTGTTTATTTCTGTCTCCCCCACTAGACTGTAAGTTCCGTAAGAACAGAGACCTTGTCCATTTTAATTTCCGTGAGTTTCAGGCTCCCTCTGCAGTACCTCCCCCTGCTCTCCCTACTGTGTTGCCAGGTGCTTGAGCTCTGCTACTTGTTCTGTAAGACAATGTAGAGAAGGAAACCCTCATTTACTGAGCACCTACTATGCTCTAGGAGCTTTGCACATATAGTTGCATCTAATCCTCTCAGCCACCTTGCAAAGTTGGCACTTTTGGTCTTTATTTTATTGAACTAAGGCACAGAGAGGCCAACTGACTTACCCAAGGTCACACAGATCTCAAACTTAGGGCTATGTCACTCTAAAATGTGTGCTCTTTTTATTACATTTAGTTTCCTAACATTAAAATGTGTGTGTGTGTGCGGTGTATTTTTCATTTCCCAGCACACTTTTCTGCAAATGGTATTTTCACTCTCTGGGGACTGAGGCATATATACACACAGCCCCCAAGTCATCAGCAATTTTATTTATTTATTGTATTGAGGGAGTGAGAAATAACACAGGCCCACCAAGGATTAAGCAAATTCCAAGTAAATTGCATAAATGGGATTTTTGAAAAGCACACAAAATAACCCTAAAACAATCAATACATTTCAGAACATCATGAGAGAGCTGGGAGTTGGGAAAGAAGAGGTGTGCTCAGCAGGCTCTTATACAAACGAACGGAACTCAAGTCCATTTCCTCTCCTATCCAGCCCAGCCTCCTGGACCCACAAACCATGTCGTGCCTGGGGACAAGTGAGCAGGAGAGACAGAGAGGGAACTTTGATTGAAATCAAGGCATCAGGAGATCTCTGCCTCTGATTCTAGGATATTTGCATCCAGGGAGCTCACTTGGCATCAAGCACTTAATCATTTCTTTTCTCTTTCTGGTTTTAATTTTGACACTGAGAGGGAAGAATCACCCTTGGGGTTGAGGAGGCCTTTTTCGCTTTCTCGCTGTTGCTCCTGGATTCCCTACCCAGTGTCCACTGCATATGTTTGGCCAGATGGCTTGGCCTCTTGGTGGCAGACTGAACTGTTCAAGAACATGGTTGTGGTTAACCTCATCCACTCGACTCAGCTTCAGTTCATCCTGGGGTAGGAGTGTGATTCCAATCAGTTTAATTAGTTTAATGAGGGCTGAGGGAACTGGTCCACATTTTGTTTGTTGCAAAGAACAAATTGGTTTGCCTCACTCCCTCCTTGATCATTTCAGTATTCAGAAATGAATATTGCGCTCCGCAACCAAGTAGGGAAGGGGTTGTCGCTCGCACCCGCTGTGAGAAGTTGGGCGCTGTCCAAGGTACCAAGATGGACTGAAGTCCAGGAACTCGGTTTTTCAAGTTGTGTGTTTCTAAACAAGAACTCAGAGTACACCGACTGCACATTTAATCTGCTAGAAGACTGAACTCTGTAGTGTAGAAACTCCTGCTCCAATATAAGGCAGCATCTGGGCGCTTTACCCAAAGCATTATCTTCAAAGTGGGGTGCACAGGAGGTCCTTTGAGGTTTGGGAATAAAATATTAAGATTTCTATTTGTTTATTTCTCTTGTTTTACATTTCTACCTTTCCTGTGTTTTATGATAAACAAGTATTTCTGCATAGGGTATGCTTACTTTTCTTTTGAGAGGGACATGTGATCAGCAAATCTCGGAAACAACAGATCTACAGAGACGAAGAAGTCAGCCTGGATTTCTGGAACGGGGGAGTCCCATGAATGGGGTGGAAGGGTTGATATGAAAAGCAATGGTTTTAGAGGTCTGGGGTCTGAGCCAAGCACAAGCCTACTGAAGAGGCGAACCTTCCCCCTCCCCCCTCACTGACCCAGACAAACACTGCGCTCCCGGCAGAAGAGGGGCCGGCTGGGTTTGGATGCTGTGTGGACGATGCTGAACAGAGCCTGGGGATGGGGCACGTAGGAAGAGTCAGTGCACCCCAATTTGGGGGAAGCTCCTGACTCGCCTCCATGACAGGGAGGTGTTTAAGCATCAAAAAGCTCTCTGGAGTAGGCATTGGGGTCCTCCTCAGACCGAGTTACCACCTTGAACTGGCGCCGGAGAAACCCACCATAGCGCTTCTGATTGTCCCACTTGAGCTTGGGGCGGATGCGCCGCAAGAAGCCCCCATAGCGTTTGTACAGGTCCTCGTGGCCCACTTTTTCCCCATCCCTGTCTCCCTCCCCAGCCACCTCTGAGCTCCTCTTGGGGTATTTGCGAAAGAAGCCCCCATAGCGTTTGACCTGTTCCTTGGGGTCCTCCTCGTCAGAATCCAGTGCTCCAGCTTCCATGGTGCCATCATTCAGCCGGGTGTTCCCCATCAGCTCTGACTCTGATCCCTCCTCCAACCTGCCAGCGAGACCCCCGAGCTTCGCTGCCAGGCCCCTGCTCAGGACGTTCTCCTCTGCTGGAGCTCTGAGGACGGATCTGCTTTTCTCCAGCTCTTTCAGGACGGGCCCCTTGTGCTCAGCCAGCTCATCATAGGCCTCTTCCAAAGCTGCCTCACTCTCCGAGTCTTCCTTACCATTGAGCCCGAGGGGGAAGGGGGTGAAAAAAGACAGAAGGTCCTGGCACCTCTTCCACTCCTCAGTGGGCAGCAGGGCAGCCTGGCATTCCAGGGAGCAAATCTGCAAAAGACCACAAAAGACCACAGTAGTAACATCCCTCCCACCAAATTGTCAAAGCACATGTACCCCACCCCCCCACCCCAGAGAGTCTTCAGTCCAATGTCTGAGAAAAATCAAAACAAGCTGTGATCACTAAGCCCCGGGCTTCCCACTTGAATGCTTCCAGTGGTGATAAGGGTAGGTGACTTGGTGCCCATGTGGAAGATGAGGAAACAGATGTGGGCAAATGAAACAGCTTCCCCAAGGGCACATGGCTACAGGTGGCAATGCCAAAACTGGAGGGAAGATCTTCCAACAGTGCTCTGCTGAGCTCACCGTCTCCTCCAGAGAGTAGTTGGTTCTCCCAACCTTTCCTAGGTGTGAATGATGCTGCAGAAACTCTATAGAGCAGGACAGAGTCAATGCAGGTGGTGAAAGAACACATGAGGGGTTGTCTGAGGGTTCATCAAATCTGGGGGACAATAGTATATCTAATGCATAGGGTGTTGGGAGAATTCAAACATCATGATGATGATGATGATGATGATGATGATGACAACGACAATACTGGACAACTCTGGAACTTGGACCCAGGAAGTCTAATGGCACGAGTCCTCATGCTTAACCACTGTTCTCTGCTGGGATCATGTATGGGCAGCACCTGGCAAGCTGTGTTCATCTCAATAAAGAGTGACTAGAATCATAAATTTAATACTTTTCATCATCATTTCATGGAATGACCCCCATTTTTCAGATGAGGAAACTACGACCCAGAGAGAAGTGTCCAAGGTCATGGAGCTAGAAGGTAGCAGAGCCAAGCCTGCATTCTGTCCACACACTGTGGTGCCTCTACTCCGGACTGCTGTCACGGGGGAGGGGCAGGGGGAAGCCTGGCTCAGAGCTCAGCCAGTAAGGCTGGGCCAAGAGAGGCTGAGACCCGGGCGAGGAGCCCAGGCGTGGGTCCCGTCCCCCAGACCCTGGTGTTCAGGGTGGTGGAAGAGCTCTTTCCATGGGAGTGATCAGATTTGGAGGTGCCCATCAGCCTGGCGGTAAGAAGCCCTGAAAAGTTACTCTGAGGACGCTGACTCCCAAAGTCAGCTCACCTCATGAACGACATTCCTTGTTGCCAGGCATCGGGCTCCTTGGAAACCTGAGTCTCTGTCTCAGACATAAGTCAGCACGTGCTGGTGAAGTCTGGAGAGGGACTGGGAGCTAGAAAACAGCGGTCCCTGGCTCGCAGGCTGACACAGAGCAGGACATGACCTGCACCGATCGGCCGAGTCTACAGGACAGGCACACCACTGCCCAGGCCCACCTCCTTCCCTCTCTGGACCCCACGCAGATGGTCCCTTCCACTGGCCCCAGAGCCTGCGCATCCAGGAGCCTTGCCTGAAACCTACCAGGGGGTTGATGGGTTTGGGCCCGTCCTGGGTCTTCACAGCACACAGGGAGCAGTGGGACAGGCAGTCCGTGGAGGCAGAGGGGAGCACGAGGAGACAAGCAGCCAGCACCAGCCCCTGCCACGCCATTCTGTCTCGTGTCTTCCTGCTGGGGAGGGAGAAGGAGAAGATAATGAGATCTCTGATCGCCCATCCTGGGGGGCATGTCCTGGGCCTGCAGTCTCTTCATCAATTCTGCCGGCAGCACTACACCGCAAGCATTCTGGTCCCCGCTCTACCGATGACAAAGCAGAGGCCCAGAGAGGCATGGTGGCTGCCCAAGGCCAAGGGTCGAGGAAAGGAATTAACACGCGCTGAGTGCCTCTGCTGTGTGCTAGGAGCTTTCCTGCACAGTTCACACCGAATCCGCCCAACAGCTCTTCAGTAGGTTGTGCCATGGGCAGACGGGAAGAGGATGCTCAGAGACAGGGCGTGGCTGCCCACACAGCTGGGCAGTGGACAAGCCAGGACTTGACCTGAGTCAGTCATCCGTCAAAATCCACTTTGATTACCCACCAAGCCAGAAGACTCCCGGCCATCTGCTTCTGTGGGTTCTCTGAGGCTTCCGTCTGTCTTTGTCCCCAGCTGCTCAGGCCATCCCCGGGCCTGGCCTCTCTGCCGCATGAGGTCTCTGGAGTTTGCCTTTCCACCCTGGCTCTCTGCTCCCCTGGCCATAGCTCCACTTTCACCCCTCTCCATGCTGGCCTCCCCGCCTCCGGCTCCTTCTCTGATCCCTCCTGCTTGCCTGAAATGCCCTGCTCAGCACATTACTTATGCGATCAGACCTCCTAATGTCAGGGACACCCTCAGTCCCCCCCTACACCTAAGCACTTCAGCTCTGGGTTCCAACCCCATCCGGCTACTTGCAATTACCATAATGAATCTGTCAGGCCCTGTCCCATCTCTGGGCCTTTGCTCACCCTGTTCCCTCTGCCTGGAAATCCTTCCTCTCTTCTTCTGTTACTGTTATTTAGGTCCCCTACTAGCTATCACCTCATCCAGGCAGCTCCCCCTGATTCCCAGGCTCTATGGAGAGCTCCTCCTTTGTATTATCCAAGTCACGTGTGCCTCCTCCATCAAAACATTCCACTGTTTGGTAATTAGCTGTGTGGGGCTACAGACTGTGATTCCATGAGGGCAGGGGCTGTGCCTTGTCTGTCTCTGCAATACTCGCTCTCTCTGCTCCTCGAACATACCACGCTGGCTCCTACCTCAGGGCCTTTGCCCTTTCTGTTCCCCTGTCGGCAGTACTCTGACCTGATTTTCCCATGGGTCATTCCTTCTTGTAATCAAATGAATTAAATGTCCCCTCATTAGGGAGGTGTTCGCTGACCCCTGTACATAGTGTTTCCCAGGTCTCTCTCACATCCCCTGCTGTATTGGCATCACCACCTCACGCTGTCCTGTTATTTGATGTCTGTTGTTTGTTATTTCCCCACTGAAATGTCAGCTCCTTAAGGGCACAAATGCTATTGGTCATAGTCCCTGTTGTATCTTAACACCTACGACTCTGACCGACACATTGTAGGCCCTCGATACATGTGAGGCACATGAATCAATGCTTCACAACAGCCTGTTAAAAGTTGTCCCTTTCATAGTTGACTCCTTATAAACCCAATATCAAGACCCAAAGCCAGTCCACAGAGGCACAAGGCAGTTCTCCCAAGTGGAAATGGGGAGTTCCCCCAGGACACCCACCCGGGGCAGGGCTCCATGCTCCTCCTGCCTGCTCCTTGTAGCCTGACACCTCAAATGCGCTGTCAGGGACAGGTCTCATTTGTTCCTCCCCAGTGAGGCAGGCATTGCCATCTCCCCAGCGAGGGGAAGCTGGGGTGCAAGGCCATCCTGTATGACTCCCCACACATGTGCCCTTAATGATCACAATTCTAGAACAGCTGACTCATTAACGGCTGAACCTTCCATGAGGCCCAGAGGGCCCGTGCACAGGTCTTTGACTTGTATATTGTTTTCAATTCACCCAACTCTGAGAGATGGGCATCATATCCCCATTTTATAAATGAGAAAACTGGTGTTCAGAGAGGCGCGGTAAATCTCCTAAGTTTGCAGAGCAGTTACAGGTGAGAACTCAGGTCTGGCTGCCTCTCTTTGGCCGGGCAGGGTCTGCTCCCCTAAGCAGGGAGGCTCAGAGGAGAAAACTGAGGTGACCTGTGTCCCCACCACGGCTCTCCTGCCCTCGAGTTTCTCGCACATGCATCAGCTGCCGCACGGATGTGGGGTCCAGGCGAGCGAGCTGTGCCTCGCATGTGCAGGCACAGAGCAGGCAGCTCACATTTTCTCTGATGCCAGCGACGGCTGGCCCGGCCCGCACAGATGAGCAGTGAATTAACCAGCTCGGGGGAAGCCTGCACCACCCACTCAGGCCTGGGGGGGCTCCCCGCACAGCGTGGCTGCTGCCGCGGGAGGCCTGATTGGAGATGGCTTTGTCCCGGGCAAAAACAGTGTCAGCATCTTTTGCTTTCATCCATTAACTTTATATTTAATAATAATACTTCTAGCTGGTCTAATGGTTGTGAAGCACTTAAGATGTTCTGAGTAATTCTCAGGATGAACTCGTTTATACGTACAGCAGCCTCGTGGTGTGAGCTCTGTTGTCATGCTGCTTTACAGATGGGGAAACTGAGTTACGGCACCTGCCAAGGTTCCAAAGCTAGTAGGTGGCTAAGCTGGGATTTGCACCCAGGCAGTCTGGGTGCAAGGCTCACCCTGGTAACCACGGTGTACTGCCCAAGCCCCTTTGACCCCCCCGCCCAGAGCCTCCTCCTGGTTCCAGAGCAGCCTCCTGGAGCCTCCGAGACACCGTCCACACAGCAGCCGGGGACAATTCTTTTTTTTCTTTTTCTTTTTTGGTACGTGCCCCTAGTGGGAACCAAACCCGGGACTCTCTGGTCCGCAGGCCGACGCTCTAACCACTGAGCCAAACCAGCCAGGGCAGGGGGGACAATTCTGAAGTGCCAGTCTGGCTGCCGCCCTGCCGTGCATCCAGCGCTCCATGGCCTTTGAGAGGAAGCCCGCCCTGTGTCAGGGGTTCAAGGGCTTTCGTGCTGAGAACAGCTGACATTGACCAGGGCTCAGAGTCCCACGTGCATCTTAATATAAGGGGTCTTTATAACAACCTCTCAAGACTGGAACTAATATTCTCCCCATCCTACAGATGAGAAAATGGAGGCGCAGCGAGATTATGCCATCTGTCCAAGGTACCCCAGCAAATGCACTGCACCCAGACTGGGTGTGAGCCCTGTCTGACCCAGGCCTGACCACACCACCTGCAATTCCAAAGCAAGCACCCCGTCTCCCAAGCTTTTGCGCACGTGGTTCCCTCTGCCTGGAAGGCCTTTCTCACCCCACCCATCCACTCCCACCGCCCTCTGACCCAGATGACTCTTACTTGTTCTTCAAAACTCAGCTCAGTGGCCTCTTCCAGGAAGTCTGTCTGGATTAGGCCCCTCCTCTGAGCTCCCACAGTCACCTATGCTGGCTCTATTGCATAATTACCATTTTCTCAACCACAGGGATGCAGAAATTGGGGGTCGGGCAGGCTCGGGGGCGCTGAGGTCTCTGGTTTCCTGCCCCCAGCCTGGCACAGTGTCCAAGGTGCAAACTAGACCCTGTAGGACAAGCTGAGCACATGGGCGCAGGGTGTTCTGAGTTGCACAGGGATTGTTTTTCACTGTTGCCCATATTTTGCAATTGGGATATTTTTACATTTTAAATGTCTCCATGATCAGGCCTGCATTCTAATCTGCCTTCTATCCGTCACAGAGGGGCCCCATGCAGCGTGGTCTCCACTGTCCCCACCCTGTGGCTTCCCTGTTGAGCACCTGATAGACCTTGAAGTTTGCAACCCCTGGGTAGCCTTGCACTCTAACAACGGGAGGAGCAGCATGGGTGGGAGGGGTCCAGGTGGGGAGAAAGGAGGGGTGAGACCTCTGATTCCTCCCTGGCCCAGAAGCAGAATCACCAAGCGGCAGGGAATGTGGATTCAGATCCCAGGCCCCCACTCATCACCAGTTCGGGAAAAGCACCGCGCTCTGTGGTGCCGCACTTCCCTCGCTACAAAAGGCGGCTGGTGATAAAGCTTCCGAGGGTCGGTGTAGGAACTGAAGACGCGATCATGTGCAGAGTGTCTAGCACATAGTAGGTGATGTAAAGAGTAAAGTATGAAGGCTCCATTCCGATATCACTTGGGCCACAGGAGATGGAAAAGAAGAGGGCAAAGAGGAGTGATAACATAGGGCAGGACACACAGGAAACAACCAAAAAAAGTTGTTGAATGAATGGGCTGCCATCTATGGTGGACCTACTGTGTGCCAGGCACGGCTGAGTGCTCCTTATTCGTAGTCGCATCAATCCACCACTTCTCAAGCCTACTGGGTGCCAGGCTGTGTGTGACCACTTTACACACATTATTCCAATGCTCACAACAACCCAGAGGTGAGTGTCTTTATACCCAACACACAGAGGACAGACTGAGGCTGGGAGAGAAGGTTAGTCAGCTTGGAAGTGGGAGAGTTCAGCTTTCTGACCAGATATCTCTGGGTTAAAAGGTGACTCTAATTGAGACTCATCAGCCCTGAGATTTTCCTAAGAAATCCTGTTTCCTTCCTTTCGTGAAATAAACAAATTACTGAGCAAATGTCACGTGGGCCCCAGGGGAGTATTTTCGCCTCTGCTATGGGGATGTGCTTGGAAGTCATACATGGGAGGTAGCCCTGCCTGCTTGGCACCTCTGATTTGGGATGAGCTGAGGAGACAAGGAGCTTGGCCATTTCTCCGTATGAGAGGTAGACAGCAAACCCCTCGCTGAGCCCAAGGGGTGGCAGCGGGCACACAGACCCCACTGCAGGGCTCGCGTGGCCCACAGTGAAGGGCGTGGCAGGCCAGAGGGCCTCCTCACCGCCCTCCCGAGTTTTGGAAGCATTTCCTTAGCCACTGCCTCGTGGTGCTTTGTGACAGCCCAGTGAGGGAAGCAGAGGCTGGAGGAGGGGGTGGCTCTTCTCGATTGAGAAAGGAAATGTGGGACTCACCAGCCTCCCTCGTCACATGATCCAAGGCCTCACAATAAATCTCTTTCTCGTCCCCTCGTTTCTATGCCCATTCCGCTCGCTGCCGCAGTCCGTGCTGCCCGCGTGCTCCGAAGCAGGGCTGCCGATCGCAGCAGGAGCCGTGAGAGTCGGAGGCCAGGAATACTGGCGTCTGGCCCTCTACAGAACAGCTCGCTGACTCCTGCCTTCACTAATTCCACAACCGTTCTATAATTCTAACTATTCTGATCGTTTTAAAGCTGATTTTCTTGGGGAAATTCAAGGAAAATCACTCCTCTCTCCAAGCCTCAATATCCTCATCTGTAAATTGGGTATCACCTTCCTACCATGTCTCCACGAGGACCGACTAAGACAGCATTGTTTGTCGTGCCAGCACATACAGTACATAGTAGCACCCCCCCTTTTTTTTTAGAAATAGTGAGGGTTTTTATATTGATTTTTTTTTTTTTTTTGAGAGAGAGAGAGTGGAAGGGAGAGGGAGACAGAGAGAAACATCAATGTGACACAGAAACATCAATCGGTTGCCATGTTCCCTGACCGGGGATCAAACCCGAAAGGTGGGCATGTGCCCTGACTGGGAATCAAGCCCGCGACCCTGCAGTGCGCTGGACGACACTCCAGGGAGCCACGCGGTCAGGGCAGGACCTTTTATAACCACAGGCCCAGAGTTTCTTGAAAGACTAGAAACTGCTTGTCCTATTATCTCCTCTGGATGATATTTCTATATTGTATTCAGAGGGCTTGGAGGAACAGGGAGCACTTTTTGTTTAAAAAGCCAGCATGGAATAATAATGGCTTGATTTAACATCGCAATTATCTCTCCAAGCACTTTATCGCATATGATTATCCCTATTTGATAGAAGAGGAAATGGGAAAAGGTAGAAATGAAATCACTTGTTTAAGGTCACATCATGAGTCAGGAGGGAACTGGAGATGGAGCTGGGGCCTCCCACACCCGGGCGTGACTCGGAGGGGAGAGATGGCGTCCTTTCAATGACCCTCCGACAGCACACACCACGACAGCCCACAAGCACTGCACTGCCGCTGGGGGCCGCCCGGCCTCCGGGGGAGCCAGCCGGGCAGGGGCTATAATTACAGCCTCAGGTTCCAGGTGGGAGGAGTGAGAACCAAGAGGCGAAGTGCCTGCAAGGTCCCAAGCGCAGACCGTGTGGCAGAGCTGAACTTCTCTGAGTCCATACAGCACCCGCCGTCTAAGGCACGGCTGCGGAGCCAAGCTCACTGCTATCCATTGTATTCCAAGGACTGCATTTTAACCCTCAGGAGAATCCAGTAGCCTGGGCACCGCGAGTCCCATTTTCTAGATGGGGAAACAGAGACTCAGAAAAGCACAATGACTGGGTCGAGGCCAACAGGCAAGGACACAGCAGAAGCTGGGTTACAGTCTGTCCGTGACCTTTCCATGAACCGCCCGAGATGCACGCACAAAATGTCCATTATATCCCCCACCAAACTCTCATTGTCCTGAAGGTGAGATGATTTCAGCAGTTTTACTTCACTCAAAAATATTTAAAGATCATCTTTGTGGGTCTCTAGTGGGCTGGCAAAGGGATCCCCAAAAACCAGAGCACTGTGCTTTTGTTAGGCCTTTAGCATCATTAGCAAAGAATGGAGGATCAATTTAGGGAAATGGGGGGCTCGGGTTTGAATGGAGAGTGAAGCCACCATTTAGTCCCGCAAGAGTTAAAACACAGACACAGGTTGGGGGCCCTCGCCGCGGGCCGGCCGCTGTCTCAGGCCACGTGCCGTCCAGAAACCAGAATGAAAGACAGCCTTGCATCTGATGGTCACGGCGGGACTGCTAACTGCACTTTTTAAAGAATGTATCTCAAAAGCAGGATTCACAGGGAACACCCACCCATTGTCACTTGATGCAATTGAGGACTGGGGAGAAAGGAAGGAAAAGGAGGGTGGACCAGACAGGGTGGGGGAGAGGGGGAGGGGAGGGAGAGGTCTTAAAACGAGCAGCAGAGGCCAGCTGGCATGCAGAGAGAAACAGAGAAATGACACCTAGAAAATCCAAGAGTAAGATGATACACAGTGTGGGAGAAGGAAATAAAGGTGAGATATAGAGATGAAGAGAGTAAATGGGAATGCAATGAAGAAGGTATAGGAAAAGGAAGAGGAGAGGGAGGAAGGGAACAAAATAAGAGAGAAGGAAGGAAAAGAAGTGGACTTTAATTCAGGAGGTTGACCTACTATGTGAATCACAAATACCAGTTCTCTCCTCCTGCCAGTGGACCAAAGACCCAACCACATAGTAACTGCTCCGCAAACCCGTGTCAGGTGAAACTGAACTGTCCAGTTACAGGTCAAGGAGCCCCGTGAGGGTGGACAGATTGCCCCCTGGTGAATATGCCTGCAGTTTGCAGCCGACCCTCTGGCCAGCAGGAGGGCTGGATGGCCTCAGAGAGGAGCCCCCAAGCCAGGGGATGTGTCTGGTGGACCTGAGCCCTTTACCCTCCTCCTGCCAAGAGCATCACCTAGACCCAGAGTGGGAGGAGTCAATGAGGTCCAGTTTCAAAGAACTCAGGGACACCTCTCCACTGCCAGGGCCTGATCCGGGGCTAACCAGGGTGTGTCCAGTAAGGTTTACTGCCCACCACAATGGCCAGCTCTGTCTTAGTGAAATCGTTTTAGACCTTTGTCAAACCCCGTGAGATTAACCAACATTTATGAGCCGCGATGAGTGAAAAGGATGAGAGAAATCATCTAGCTGGACACACATTCTCAGACACGCGTTGAAATCAAACCACCAACTATTGATCCCACTCAGATTGATGGAAGACATCTAATAAATACAACTATTGTGTGAGAATGACCCGAGGAGGTTGGCAGTGGGCCGGGGAGTCAGGGACGATCGATCAAATGGAGAAATAAAGTCTTTTGCTGTGTGGAGAGAATGAGGTGGGGAGGGGACATCAGTGCCGGCCCCACACACGGAAAGGGTGGACGTTAGATCCTCTTTCCTAGATACTGCACACGACATAATGGAGCGAGGTGATCAGAGTTATCTGATGATCAGACTGGCGGGAGGGAGGAGGTCCAACTCTGCCACTTGGAACAATGAAAACCTGAGCAATCCTACTAACATTACTGAGGACCTAGTAAGTGCCAGGCATAGTACAGTATCCCATAGGAGTCTCACAATAACCCAAGGAAGTGAATATTATTATTATCCTTATTGTACGGGTGAAGAAATTAATGCTCAGAAAGGGAGAGCTACAAACCACACAGGGACAAACCACACAGCAAATGAGTGGCAGGTTTTGAACCTAGCACTGTCTCGGTGTTGTGAGACAGACATTTAGATGCTTTCGATGCTGTACAGAGTTCCCTCAAGACCCTAATCCCTTTCCATGTGTGTTTTAAGGGAATTGTAAATTTCTCAAACAGCCCCAGGGCTGGTCTCTTTGCCTGCTCTGCTAAAATGTGCTGGGTTCCTCAGGACATCCCTTTCAAGCTGCCTGAGATCACAGGATTTACCTGCCACCCATCACACCTCTAGCTCACCTGGGGCAAGGCGGAGGGCTTGAGATCCCCTCAGCAAACGCACACCTCCCCCAGGCGTGTAACTCACCCGCCTGGGCTGCTGCACCAGCTCCCCACGCAGATCTCAAAGCCTGGAGATAAATGACCTGCAAAAATAGAACAAAAGGCAAGAAGAGGTGGGGTTGGGGTGGCAGGTTCAATGGGGTGGGGGCAGCAGGGAGAAAATGAGGCGGCAAGGATTCACATTCTGAAATGTTCTGCACTGGATCTTGGCTGGAATGCCTGTCAAATTAGAAAGACAAGCCTTGTCTGTTTTACCAGCCCTGCAAGAAAGATGGTAATGAAGGCTTCGATCTGTGGGAGGGGAATTGAAATCAAATCCAATAAGGGAAAGAGCTTGTTCCCCCTCAGCAGCTTGAAGGCTTAATTAAGGAATGTTTATCAAGATTCTACACAAAAGATACCCAGGAAAAAGTAGCGGGTCTCAGAATTTACTATTCAACCTCGGAGTCGTGGGCAGGTTTTTGGTTTGGTTTGTTTTTTTCCCTGAAAACTCACCAGCATTTTGCTAGAGCCAAACTTTCAGATCCTGTAACACTCTCTTTGAATGTGGCTATCTTTACCCGTGAGCAAATGGCTTTGGCATCAGAGGTCTTTCCTGCCTGACTTGCACTCCTCCGGCTGCAATTTACATGAAAGCAACAAGTCCTTTCAAAGTAAAATTGACAAGTAAAACCCTGTGAAGGCTGGTGCTCCTGGCTGGTCCCTCTCGTTCCCTAGTCTCTCCCAACAAGACAGCCCCAAACTTCATGTCTGCGTGGAATTACATCAAAGGGAGCCACTCAAACCAGCACTCTGTCAGCAATTACACACGACCCAAGGAGAACGAAGAGGCTGAAGTTGGTCGTACATTGATGTACATGATTCACGGTAAATACCAGAGCCCCGAATCTCGTTATTGTCCCCAAGCCCCTGTTCTCTCAAGTCCAGTGAGAATCAATGACCTTTCAGAGCACTCTGATTAGCTAAAACTCACATCTTCGAGGCAGAGCACTGTCCCATTTTCACATGGGAACAGCTGTGAGGGGGATTGTAGGACCAAGAAGACCTGGAGCTAAAACAGAGAGGGGTGAGGGTGGGGGTGTCCACCTGTTTAGGCCAGGACATTAGGGAGAGAGAAATTCCAAAGAGCAGCCCACTGATCTGTTTTTTGTAAACTAGCCTCCTAACTGTAACTGTGTCTCCCAGATCAGTAGACCCAAACCCAAACTCCCCCAGCCGAGCTCCCACCACCTCCAAGTCCAGAGGACCAGGCAAAACAAAACCAGGAGAGATCCCAGCCCCTCTGGGCATTACCTGTGCTCTTCTTTGTCCCTGGGCAGCTTCTGCCTGAGCAGGTCGGGTCGCAGGGTGGTAGCAGGTGGCCGGTCCAAGACTCAAGGACCGCCCTGACTCCGGCTTGGAAGGAGGTGCCAAAGAGGCAGCTGTGAGCACCACCAAAGCCCCTTCGAATGGCAGTTCTGGTGCCTCACCCCCCTTTTATGGATGAGAGCCTCCCCTATCGCTCAGCCCTTGCTGAGCACAAGCCGCTCAGAGCCAATGGGGAGGTAGCTCTGAGCAGTCAGAGGCGCAGACCCTAGGGCCCTTCAACTTGAACTCCCTGGGCCCCACACAATAGGCTTCATGACGGGGATGTGGAGGAGGAAGCAGCCGTGCGGGGAGGGGGTGGATTCTGGGTGTGGTGCTGTTTGTCATTTGAAATCTGGCCACTTCAGTCTTTGATGCATTTCCAGGAGAGTTTCACAGAAAAAAAAAAGAGAGAGAGACGTAAGGGAGGGCAGAGACAGAAAGAGTTAGAGAAAGACAGACACCAACGGGGAGTGAGAGAGGAACAGACAGACAGAGATATAGAGACAGATGAGAGAGAGAGAGAGAGAGAGAGAGAGAGAGAGAGTCAGATGGATATAAAGACAGATGGAGAGAGAGAGCCAGACAAACAGAGAGCAAAACAAAGATTCAGAGAGTCAGAACCAGAACAAAGAGTGCCCCGGTTGTCAGACATGAGGATGCCCAAAGAGACCGGTAGAAACAGAGTTCAAGGAAGAGAAATAAGGAAACCAAGAAAGAAGGCAGTCAGACTCCGAACCACACGGACGGAGAGACAAACGGATGCTGAGACAGAGGCAGACGAGTCCTGGAAAACGAAGAAACGAGGAGAGGAAGGAAGCAGCGCGGAGCCCGGCAGGACGAGCATCACCCCGGTGCCGTGGCAGCTCTGTGTGTGGCGGGTGCATGTGTGTGCTGGAATGTTTTTGCGCATACATTTGTCTGCATCCAACTGTTGATGCTGGAACAAGCCTGAGCCGGTGCCAGGCACAAGCGGCCCTGGCAGACGTACAGCCCTTCCCCAGCAGCCAGGAGCTGCAGTTGACTTTTCTCTGGCGGCCACACAAAACGAGTATCATGAAATCCCTCTCCAAAGATGGGCTGTGGTGTGTCTTTGCGTGCACGCCTGGTGGGGGGCATACCCACGGCACACGTCCCCTCAGCCGGTGCCAGCAGCAGCTTAAAGGCTGCGCTCTCCATGGCTACAAGTACCTTCCAAATCGCAGGGGGTCTCTGAGTTTGGAAGAGAGCACAGGAGTCTCTCCTCAGTCAACAGCAGACGAGCACATTATGGTGGGAGGCATGGCTGTTTCCGAAACCTGGCAGGGGCTGCCCATTTCGTGGGCGCTTATGCTGCGCCAGGCAGTTAGTCAAAGTTGTTGGGTTTAATCCTCCTGACCTGGCCAGGTAGTGAATATTATCCCCACCTTGAAGATGAGGAGAAAGAGGCTTGAGAGCTGAGAAACTAAGTCATCAAGTTAGGATCCAAACCCAGGTTTATATGATCCAAAGTCCCTGCCCCTCCCTCACCCCTCCTTGGGCACAAAGCCTTGAATCTGCCTACCATGGGGCGGGGGTGCTGGGAGCTTTCTTCTCTGGGACTCAGTCTGGCCACCTGTACAGCGTAGGAGAGGGCTGCACCTAAGAATATTTAAGGTGTGACTTTGAGGCCCAGTCCTGCCACTCACAGTGGAGAGACCCCAGAGGAGTTTGCTCATCTGTGGAACGGGGGTACGGTGTTCAGTTCATTGGGCTCTGGTGAGGGTGAAACAAGAGGATGTGAGCCACAGCCCTGAACGCAGCGACGCGCCATGGGGGCTCCTCCACCAGCTGCCCCGTGGTTAATCACATCACTCCCTCTGATGCAGCCGGTTCTCTGGGGCCTCGTCCCCTCCCTGCCCGGGTTTGTTCCGAGGAGAAAGGTGGAAGGGGCTGCTTGTTGTGCACCCACTACTTCTGAGACCCTTCACGTGTTTCACCGGATCCTCACAACAGGCAAACGTGTGGCATGGGTATCACAACGCAGCCTCAAAACGAGGAGGCAGCTGAAGTTCGGGGAGGTCCCAGCCACATGGGGAAGGGGACCAAGTTGAACCCTGACACGCAGCCCCTGCACACCCCCTTCAGCCTTGAGATGGGGTCTCCCTCCTCCCTTGCAGGGAGGACTCTTCAGGACCCTGCTTTCCTTCTCCTCCTTGGGTCAGACAGGCAGACACAGGGACTTCCAGGTGCTTCTGTGGAAGCCCCTGCCCCGGTGTCTGACGGCCACGCCAAGAGTTAGCGTCCCCGGCTGGCTGCTGGCCTGGCAACCGGACAACATGGGGGGAGTCTGTTCACTGATGCCCTGGCAACGTGAGAGCCCCGGGTTGAGCCTTTGCCCCCCCAAATCCAAATCCTCACCCCAGTTGCTCTCTATCCTCCTTATTTTTCCCCTCCCCCTCCTCTTCCTCAGCTCTGGCTCTACTAGCTCCTAGTAATAACCTGGAAATAAACAAAGTCTCCAAGAGATGGCACCGATGGCTTCCATTCCTGGAAGTCAGCAGGCTCTAGGATGGCGGAGCGGAGGCCTCTCTGGGCTATTGTTCATCACAAACGGAAGTATCGCCAGCGAGGGGAGCGATGCTGTGGTGGTCCTGCTTTAGCCAGTGATGCTGAACGTCCGGAGTCTGTTGCCTGCCTCACAGCCAATGGTTCATTCACTAGTTTTTCCTTTCTTCTACAATGTCCTTCACACACACACAGCAGGACAAGGCCAGGAATAGCCTGCTCCCTCAGCCCTGGAGAAGCCTGTTCTAAAGCTCACCCCTCTCCCAGGCTCGGTGATGCCCGGGCCACACCGCGGCCCCACGGGCAGCAGCACGTGGGATGGGAGACCGTGGAATCAGCACAGGCTCACTCGGCTCCAGTCCTGACGCTCCTACTTACTCACTACGGGCAGCTCATGGATACGTGGCCTCTCTGAGTCATCTGAAGTCAGGAGGCATGCCAGCTTCACGCAGGGGTCAGGAGCCCTCCAAATTGCCAGCACGCTCCCTCCCCGCCATGCCCGGTGTGTCTCCAGTTCACCAGATGAAAGAGAAGGCGGTAGTGACACTACCAGCCCTGCAAACATTCTGTTGGTAGGAAGGAGGAACTTGGCCAAAGACAAAGAGAGAGAAAAAAAAACCAAAGCCACCCTGGCCAGTTTGGCTCAGCGGTTGGAGCGTCGGCCTGCGGACCAGAGAGTCCCGGGTTCGGTTTCTGCTAGGGGCACGTACCAAAAAAGAAAAACCCAAAGCCAGTGTTTCTTAAGGCCTTCCTACGTGCCAGGCCCTGTTGTAAACACACGTGATTTTCCCAACGACCCTGCAATTAGATGTGCTTCCTATCGCCACTTCACAGATGAGGAACAGAGGCTGGGAGAAGGGAGGTCCCTGCACGAAGTCACGGGGCTACGAAATGGCAGAGAACAGCTTGAAACCAGGCGGCTGGGCTCCAGGCTTGTGCCCCAACCCCTAGCATTGCTTCCTAGTTTCTCTCTGCCCTGGTGCTGTTTCATCCACAAAGCTCTGTGTATTTTCTCTGTTCACTTGTTACACTGGGAGGGTAGCAGCTGGTGACATGATCACTCAGGAGGATTTCGGTGGAATGTAGTCCCCACTGTCCCATCAGCTTCCAGCCTCCTGCATCACTCTTTACGCTACGATGCGCCCATGTGAACCTCCGAGGACCCGCACCAGCTCCTGGTTGCTGGAGCCACGTTTGTGTATGGCTGCCACGGGAACGGAAACCGGAGTCAGAAGCTGTGCTTAAGGTGTAATGATGCTCAATCTCTCTCTCATGAAATGTCACAATGTGCCATTCTGTGCTTTGCCCTGGGTGTGCTCATGGTCCAGGTTGGGGGACAGGCAATGCGCAGCGGCATGAGGAGCGCTGGGCTAGGGGGAGACCTAGAGCACTGTGGGAACACAGGAGAGGGCTCCCAACCCAGCCTGGCGGGGTGGGGGCGGGCAGCCAGGGAAGGGTCCCCCGGAGAAAGTGAGAGCTACCTGGGGACTTACACAAGCAGGCATTCCCCAGGCAAAGGGAAGGAAGGGGCCTTCCAGGCAAAGGGAACAGCATAGGCAAAGACTGAGAGGCAAGGAGAATTGAGCAGGATGACAGAGGAGTCATCTCGACTCTCCTCTTTCTCTCTCCCCACATCCAGTTCATCAGCCATGCTCACTGATTCCGACTCTGTAACCCCAGCCAGCCCCCCGCCACTCTCCTCCTAGCCCCACTGGCTCCTACTCCCACCCTTACCTCCACCTACTGTTGGCTCCTCAGCAGCCGGAGGGATTCTTCAACAAATGGAACTCATGCCCTGGCCGGTTTGGCTCAGTGGTTAGAGCGTCGGCCTGTGGTCCAGAGAGACCCGGGTTCGGTTCCCGCTAAGGGCACGTACCTCGGTTGCAGTTTGTCCCTGGCCCTGGTTGGGTTGTGTGGGTGGCAGCCACTCGATGTGTCCCTTTCACGTCGATGTTTCTCTCTCTCTCTTCCTCTCTCTCTCTCTCCCACTCTATCTGAACAAAAAATGGAAAAAATTGTCCTCGGGTGAGGATAAAAAAATAAATAAAATTAAAAAAAATGGAACTCATGCACTGGCTGGTTTGGCTCAGTGGTTAGAGCATTTGTCATGGTTTCAATTCTGGTCAAGAACACGTACCTCAGTTGCAGGCTCAATCCCAAGCCTGGTTGAGGTCATGTGGGAGACAGCCAATTGATGTGTCTCTCTCACATCAATGTTTCCCTCTCTCTCTCCTTCTCTCCCTTCTACTCTATCTCTACCTAAAAGAAAGAAAAATCAATGGAAAAATATCCTTGGGTGAAGATTAACAATAACAAAAACTGTGACCAGATTGTACTACACCCCTGTTTAAAACACTCCAGAGGGCCCTGGCTGGTGTGGCTCCGTGGGTTAGAATGTCGTCCTGAGCACTGAAGGGCTGCACGTTCGATTCCCAGTCAGGGCACAGACCCACGTTTCGGGTTTGATCCCCTGTTGGGAAGGCAACCCATTGATGTTTCTCTCTCTCTCCCTCTGCCTCTCTCTTCCTCCTCTCCCTCTCTCTCTGGAATCAGTGAAAAATAT